TATATATATATATATATATATATAGATATATATATATATTAAAATATTTAATAAATAAATAAAATAAAACCATAAAAAAATTTTTTTAAAAGCTATAAAACCCTTTTCAAAAGCATGAAAAGCCATACAAAATAAACAATGAAAGGCTTTAAATAATTTTTTTTTCTTTCTGTGTTTTTGGGCTGAATTATGGCTGTGACTGTTGTGTAAATGAGACTAAAGTGTTGTATTAATGAATCAGGTGGATTGTAAATGACTGTAAGTCAGTGTGTTTTATTACAATCGAGCAGCAGATGCCTATTTTGCACTGATTTATTGTTTCCTGTTCTGATATGTTGTGAAATATAGAGTTGTCAGGCAGCCGGTCTATAATTATATTAATTTATAATGCATGATTCATCTGAGTGCATCTAGTCTCAGGTTCAGATATACACCTGTATATAAAAGAACAGAATATAAAAATAAGAAAGAATATTTTTAACAAAGTCAAACATGTTTTATAAATCAATGCTGTCTGTTTAAATATTCAACATTCTCCTGTTCCGTCTAAAATCTTTCTTTTCGGCTTAGTCCCTTTATTAATCTGGGGTTGCCACAGATTATCCAGCCACCAACTTATCCAGCATATGTTTAACGCAGCAGATACCATTCCAGCTGCAACCCATCACTGGGAAACACCCATACACTCTTATTCACACACATACACTACGGACAATTTAGCTTACCCAATTCACCTATAGCGGATGTAGTTAAATTCAGTGCATCTTTACTTATCAGTTATAAGCTTATCAGTTATTCTTAAAAATTCGGTCGCCATGTGGGAAATACGAATTCTGAATTTCCGTAATCTTGCACTCATGTTTATCAGTGATACTAAAATAACCACATTTGTAGTCTGGCACAGTGATTAACCAGGTAAATTATAAATAGTCTTCCAGTTAACAGCCCACCCGTCCCGCTGCAGTATGTCAGAATAAAAGTGTGTGAAAGTCTTAAAATAGAAACACTTCAGATTCCCATTACTGAAGCTTCACAGAGACTCTAAACACAATGAGAGGTTCACAATGAATAAAAGAGGAAATGCATCCACCTGCTGCGTCTCACTTCCTGATACGGATGACCTCATGATCGGTCACACATTCATGCAGGTTGAGAGGAAGCGGATTAAACATTGACAGACAGCTGTAATTACTGCTGTTTGTTCAGTCATAACTGATACTTCATGCTTGATGAAGCACATTAAAGGATGGACATCAGATCCACGTCATCACACCGGAATGTCAGGTTTTACTGTCTCTAGGTGATATTTTTACACACTTTCTTAATGCATTTTAAAGTATGGGATGTATGTCCGGTTTTGGGAACTTCACTGTTGAAATATTGTCCCAACATAAATCGATTAAGTTAACGCAACTAATTAAAGTGGATTGAACATAAAACATTAAAAAATTAAGTTGTCCCATAAGACACTCAATAATTTTGTTGTTTTAATTAGGTAGTTTGAACAAGCAGCAAAAATGTTAGATTTTTTAAATAGAGATTAATATGTTATAGAAAAATATTAAATACAAATTTTAAAAAAGAGCAAAAGAGAAGCAAAAAAAAAAAAAGAAAAATGTAGTTTGAATTTTGTAGGTTGTAATTTTTTGCAAAATTTTGCTTGAATTAATTATAATCTTTCTATTTTTAAATATGTTTGGCGACTAAAATATTATTTTAATAAAGATATCTTTATTAAATCTGTTTTGTTTAAATGCACCAAATACATTGCCTATATTCACTGAGAAATGGAGGAAAATTTTTATTTGCAAAATGGGGTGTACTCAATTATGCTTAGGGAGATAGATAGATAGATAGATAGATAGATAGATAGATAGATAGATAGATAGATAGATAGATAGATAGATAGATAGATAGATAGATAGATAGACAGACAGATAGACGGATAGACGGATAGACGGATGGATGGATGGATGGATGGATGGATGGATGGATGGATGGATGGATGGATGGATGGATGGATAGATAGGTAGATAGATAGATAGATAGATAGATAGATAGATAGATAGATAGATAGATAGATAGATAGATAGATAGATAGATAGATAGATAGATAGATAGATAGATAGATAGATAGATATGAAGTCATAATTATTAGCCCCCCTTTGAATTTTGTTTTCTTTTTAAAATATTTTCCAAATGATGTTTAACAGATCAAGGAAATTTCCACAGTATGTCTGATAATATTTTTTCTTCTGGAGAAAGTCTTATTTTATTATTCCGGCAAGAATAAAAGCAGTTATTATTTTTTTTAAACACCATTTTAAGGTCAAAATTATTAGCCCCTTTAAGCTATATTTTTTCCGACAGTCTACAGAACAAACCATCATTATACAATAACTTGCCTAATAACCCTAACCTGCCTAGTTAACCTAATTAACCTAGTTAAGCCTTTAAAAGTCACTTTAAGCTGTATAGAAGTGTCTTGAGGAATATCTAGTCTAATATTATTTACTGTCATCATGGCAAAGATAAACTAGATTAGTCATTAGAAATGAGTTATTAAAACTATTATGTTTAGAAAAGTGTTGAGAAAATCTGCTCTCTATTAAACAGAAATTGGGGAAAAAAACAGTTGGGCTAATAATTCAGGGGGGCTAATAATTCTGACTTCAAGACAGACAGACAAAACTAAGAAAACGCTGTGAAAATTTCCACACAATTCATTCAATCTTTTATGCTGCGCAAACACAATTCGATTAAGTTAACTTAATTGTTTTTACAAATTTAAGTAGATTAAACATAAAACCATTTAGCAAGAATTTAGATTTTTCAGCTCATTTTAAATAATTTTGAACAAGCAGCAAGAAACATTTGAGTGTACACTTACAATTGTGACAAAGTCGTGACAACAAATGTCTTTATATTACTTTAACCTATTTAATAAGTTAATCAGGTCACAACTACATTTTTAAGTTATAACTTTTTTTTATAAATTAATATTTATTTTTGCCATTTCTGCGCAGAAAGTATTTGTTTATGCTATTCAGATATCTTGGAGAATAATCCTGGCTTTAAACTAAATATTTAGAAATAAAATTAGAAAAGTAATTTAAGTACTACTTTGATAATTTTAATAATAATTAACTACTTTTTGAAGCAATGTACCCAATGCTAATTAAACCCAGTTCTTATTTAACAAATTATTTAAAAATATTTAGAAATAAAATGAAAACAATATTTAAAAAACAACTCTAATCATCGTATTATTATATCATATTATATTATATTATATTATATTATATATTAAATATAAATTTATTAAAAAAATTTAAGTTTGACTGAAGTTATTCTCATAACTCATGCAAAGTGCATATAGGAAAAAGCTGGATGTCCTGTTCAGCACCGGTTGTTCAAACTCTGTGATGGTCAGTGATGACCTCATGTCGTGTCATCAGTAATTAAAGTGTTGAAGCGGATGTTAATGACCACTTTCTGAAATCAGTGTGTGTGTGTGTGTGTGTGTGTGTGTGTGTGTGTGTGTGTGTGTGAGAGAGAGAGAAAATGCTGTCCAACAGAACTTTGAAACTATCTTGAATAATCAAAAAATAATCTTTATAGATGCAAACCAGAATCATTTTCAGCAGCAGTCTCAGACCTCACTGTGGCACAGATTAAATATATATTTCCGTATATGACTCTTGAATTTCGTCATGATGTCATTGAGATGTTTGATTAGTCACAGGATTGCTTTATAGCCACTCTTTTACTCATATTTCCGGGTGCAGTGGCCGTTGTCATGAGAAGTGAACAGAACAGAAGGAAGTGCTTTAGGAAACGGCAAATCAAGAGCCACCTTTTGGATATCCTCTGTGAATTTCACTATACACAGAACAAAAAATACTTTAAACCAAATTTTTGAAAAATACTGTGATTTGTTACAGCAAAAAAATGTTTCTCAAAGTATAATTTAACTTTGGACAAACTTTAAATTTTTATGTAAATCAAAAATATTTCTTGGTCAAGAACAGTCTTTTTTTGTTTAATTTTTTTTTTTTAAAAAGAACCTGTTGCCAGATAATCCTTATGTTTTGTGGTTATAATTACTTATGTTTTGTATTTTAGTACGCAACATCGTTATCTCTATTTTATTTCTTTCCAACCCTGTGTACCTTTAATGTCTCATATGTTGTCATGTCTTTGTGTGTGTGTGTACAGGAGACCAGCATTCAGATCGCCATCAAACAGTGTCGGCAGGAGCTCAGTGTCAAGAACAAGGGCAGATGGAGTTTAGAGATTCAGATCATGAAGAGGTGAGTCCAAAGACTGTAAATATACAAAGACGGTTCAATCGATACTACTGTTATGATGGAAGTGCATTAAATGGGGTGAAATTTCCAAATGCAGCTTTATTTAAGCAAAGGGATAGTCAGACAGGCAAAAAATATGGTACAAAAAGGAGTAATCCAATAGAGTAATCTAGAAGGACAGACAATGGTCATGGCAGGCAGAAAACACTTAAAAAATGCAAATCAGTCCAAGATTAAAACTCGTGTAAATTCAAAAAACAGAAACAGGGGAAATGCTAGGTGAGGCATACTAAAGGTATACTTTAAACAAGTGGTCTCTAACTTAATTCCTCCTGGGCCACAGCTCTGCATAGTTTAGCTTCAACCTCCTCCAACTCACGTCTGCTTAATAGTCTCTAGTAGTCTTGAACACCTTGATTAGTTGGATCAGCTGTGTATGATTAGGGTTGGAGGAAAACCATGCAGAGCTGCGGCCCTCCAGGAACTGAGTTTGAGACCACTGGTTTAAAGTATACATGTGCCTTTAGTATGGCGATGCAGTGGGTAGTGCTGTCTCTTCACAGCAAGATGGTCGCTGGTTCAAACCTCGGCTCAGTTGGCGTTTCTGTGTGGAGTTTGCATGTTCTCCCTGCACTCGCGTGGGTTTCCTCCGGGTGCTCCGATTTCCCCCACAGTCCAAAGACATGAGGTATAGGTGAATTGGGTAGGCTAAATTGTCTGTAGTGTATGAGTGTGTGTGTGTGTGTGTGTGGATGTTTCCCAGAGATGGGTTGCGGCTGGAAGGGCATCCGCCGCGTAAAAACGTGCTGGATAAGTTGGCAGTTCGATCTGCTGTGGCGACCCCGGATTAATAAAGGGACTAAGCTGACAAGAAAATGAATGAATGAATGTACCTTTAGTGCGCATCACCTAGCATTTTCCCCTGTTCCTGTCTTTTGTATTCACCCATGTTTTAATCTTGGACTGATTTTGGATTTTTGAAGTGTTTTAAAACCATGCTTTAACCAAATTCGGATTAAAAGAACTGGAATGTCCTAATTTCCAACAAAATCTGTCCAAAATAAAGTTCTTTTTGAGTTCGAAAACCACTCACGAAAGCAAAATTTTGAGAAGTTCATATGGGGGTGGGGGGGTTAGGACATATAGGGGGCCCCCAGAGACATTATCAAGGCCCGCGACTAACAACCTTCTCCAGTTTCGTCCAATAAATCACCCAATCACCCATTTTCACCCATTCACCCAGTTGCTAAGTCTAGTCTGTTGACTTTATTGGGGGACAATGTGGACCTTTTGTTTTGAATGATGTGAGATGAGAGTGAGAACAGTCTCTCACAAGCCGAATCAGCATATGGATTTCAGTGCCTAATTTTGTTGCCACTGGTGCTATGACAAGGACGTAGGAAGCATCAAGGGGTACATCAAAGGCACACACAGATACGCGTTGTGTCACACCATTAGGCCGGTGGGCGTTTCTGAGGGTTTTCCCCGGGTTCTCCGGTTTCTTCCCACCATCCAAAGATATACATTATGCATAACAGACTTAGCATATCAAGCGCTTGTCTAGCTCCCTTTTTCTCACGTGTTCCCTTAGCTACTGCAGCAGGGGTGTTCTGAGATCCACCAAGCTCAAGCTCCCCTCTCACTCTGTGAACGGGCGGGAGCCCCGGGTGTAAACTCAAGTGTGAACTTTTGAAATGCAATTTAATGAGAGATTAAATTATAGTAATAGGGCAGGTCGCTTCAGATTATGTTGCTGATTTGAAATTAAAAAGCATGTAGCTTTTAAAATTTTAGGAATTCCCTATTCATCTAGATAGGACTTTGGTCTTGGATGAGCTATCCAAAGCGTGGCAAATATGGTCGCTGAGTGAACTTTCCTTGAAAGGGACTTTAAGGGTTTATCCCAATGACTGTAAAAAATATGGACGACGCGACAGCCCTTTTTCCCATTGAACGCCTTGAGGGCAAAACGCCTGCTTGACGGGCACAAACTGTCGCAAAAGACTGCTGAAATTGGAGCCAGACATGCGCAGAAGGACTGTCTGATGGAGCCAGAGGAGGAGCCGCGAAAATGAGCAGAGTCGAGCTTCCAATCAAACGCTTTATGTAAAATCAACTACGCCCCCCGAACTTCTCAGCATGCGTTTGCTGTCATATCAACACAAATGGATGTAATAACGTTAACAAATATGAGGGTTTTATATATTCAATCGCGCCAGCTCCAGGCCGCAGCGCATAACTTACTCGCGGCGTCGCGGGCTGATTCCGGCTCGCATGCGGCAGCGCCTGCTCGCTCGGCCGCCGCATCTGGCTCGATTGACTCGGGCTGGAATCGGGCAGTGAGTCCAGGCATCCAGAGTAGGTCCAGCAGAGGTAACATTAGTCAGTCTGAGCTCTAAGAGATAAGTCTCCGGCAGGCGAGAATCTAGCCGGAACTGTGTTTTGCTATCTGGGTGGCTAGGCGTGTATCAGCAAACTAATAAAGCCCGAAAAAAGCCCTGAACTTAGCGAATAAACAGTGTTCCACCAGGATCATGTATGTCAGAAACTATAGTTTACTGCTGAACTCATTTTGTCATGGTAAAATAACACAGAAATCGAATAATAACATTTCAGTCTACTTCAGTCTCCTGCCGAAGCTCAGACGCGCTGCTTTGAGAAACTGTCAATCACAGCTGTCAATCACGATGCCACGCCCAGCATTAAATTACTGCTAAAAACAAACTGTTTACAAAAATGAAGATCTGCACCTATTTCAGCACAATAACCAGTGCCTTAATCCACCAGAACTATCTTTCGGGACATTTTATTGCAAGTGTAATATTTTTTTTTATTTGGGCTTAAGTCTCCTTCATTAACACGGAGGAGGCGGGCTTTATGACTTGTACTGCAGCCAGCCCCCAGGGGGCGATCTAACGGCCGAAACCTTCACTCAAACGTAGGCTTGCGGCACACTTGGTTTATCCTCTCCAAAAAGCCAATATCCTGTTTCTGCCCTCAGTAGGTCAATAAAGTTCACACACAGTGCTCTGTTACTCTTTTTGCATCTGAAGAGATTTTGCATCTTTAGAGTCGAACGCCTACAAGTCTCATTCACGTCAGAGAGGGTGAAACAGGTTCATAAAACTGTTCATGGTCCAAAATCTGTACAAACATTGGTGCTCAGAGTGATTAAATGATAAAAATAATAAATGCTCTGGCCCTTTAATAGTCATTTTGTTATTGACTACACCCATTTTTCTTGACTGATATCATGATGTTGGCTTTCACGTCATTGCAGATGTCTATTTTAAGAGAAAACACTCTTTTACATGGTATTTTCCATCTTTTCGCTTGCTTATGTTGTTCCATCTTTTAATGTGCAGTCCATTAAGCGACCACGCAAAGCCTTCCGTTGTTATTCGACTATTTATAAATGTTTTTATGAACAAAAGCTCGGAGGAAAACAACGAGGGATGAATTTATGACACCACAGTAGTAAAAAGTGACCCAGTATTGTGGTTTGTGCCGTCACAACACCTTCAGGCTCATCTTAATTTAGGAGCAAGTGCATCTCTGGCTGTTTTCTCCCTGTTATTGGGTTTGGGGGGGTTGTGTTGCGGTCGTCTTCATGTCCAGTTGTTTATTGGAGAGCTGTTTGTTGTATTAAGGTTTTTAGGGGGTGTCAGCACATGCAAACTATTATAAAGAAATATTATCAAAATCTTCTCACAGCATGTCAGCAACATCAGGAGACATTTAGGCCTTGTTTTTACTTAGTATTAACATGCATTTTAGGGATTCATTCAGCTGACATGCATTACCTTTTTAATTTGTTATTAATAAGCAAACAAATGCTGCATCTGACAACTTGCGTTTGGAATTGTTTAAGACCCTAAAATGCGCAGTGTGCAATTCTAGCCACTAGAGGGCTTGTATTTACAACAAACAAAGGTGTGTTTTGTGGGAGTTCTGGTCATTATCATCATACGAGTCCCCTGCAGAAATCAGTGGATGGATGAGCTAAAGTTTTCAACATTATCATGGTAATATGAAGCAGAGTATGGCTGAATGCCGTGAAGAAAAGCTAAAGCAATTATTCAGCACATGATCATGTGGGGAAGAAAATCTTTGCTTTTTTTAATCAGACTAAATATGTTTTAGGCTTCTGCATTAATGGTGTTTTGTGTAGTGTAATAAAACACACCATATTAAAGTCTTGCTGTTTTTTCATGTTTTCTAGAAAACCAAACCAGAAATGGAGGTTGTGTGATGTCGTCAGCATGAATACACACTACTTTAACTAGTTCAAATGTATTATTTCTCTGGATTTGAAAATTCTTACAAACATTTGGGATATAGTAAACAAGTCCATAAGACAGCAAACAAACTGGCCACTTTATTAGGTACACCTGTCCAACTGCTCGTTAACAAAAAATTTTAATCAGCCAATCACATGGCAGCAATGCATTTAGGCATGTAGACATGGTCAAGATGATCTGCCGCAGTTCAAAACAGAGCATCAGAATGGGGAAGAAAGGAGATTTAAGCAACTTTGAACGTGGCATGGTTGTATTTCAGAAACTGCTGATCTACTGGAAGTTTCGCGCACATCCATCTCTAGGGTTTACAGAGAATGGTCCGAAAAAGACAAAAATATCCAGTAAGCGGCAGTTCTGTGGGCGCAAATGACTTGTTGATGCCAGAGGTCTGAGGAGAATGGCCAGACTGGTTCCAGCTGATAGAAAGGCAACAGTAACTCAAATAAGCACTCGCTACAACCGAGATCTGCAGAAGAGCATCTCTGAACACACAACACGTCCAACCTTGAGGCGGATGGGCTACAGTAGCAGAAGACCACACCGGGAGCCGCTCCTGTCAGCTAAGAACAGGAAACTGAGGCTACAATTCACACAGACTCACCAAAACTGGACAATAGAAGATTGGAGAAACGTTGCCTGCTCTGATGAGTCTCCATTTCTGCTGATACATTCAAATGCTCGGCTCAGAATTTGGCATCAACA